ATTATTATTATTATTATTATTATTATTATTATTATTATTATTATTATTATTATTATTATTATTATTATTATTATTATTATTATTATTATTATTATTATTATTATTATTATTATTATTATTATTATTATTATTATTAATTATTATTATTATTATTATTATCATTATCATTATTATTATTATTATTATTATTAATTATTATTATTAATCTTCATTCAGATCAGGAGGAATACTTCATTGAAATTTTGCTGTCTGCATTATTGAGGTTGACAAACCATGCACTGTTTCATGGTGCTCGTATGGGAGTGGCTCACTTTGTTTGCATATATGTATGTTATATATATTGTAACTAATTTGCATATTTTAGACTCAAGCAACTCAACAGCAGCAACAGCAGTTGAAAGTTTCCACAGAAACGCGTCAGAATCGTCCTAATCCATCACTGCTTGCTGCACCATTAATGGGGCGTGCTGGAGCTGCGCCTTCCGGTGCAGCTGCAGCAAATTTGCAAGCTAATCGGTCAAATGCATCGACTAATGTTGCACATCAAGCAAATCGTGCAATGCAGCAGCAGCAGCAGCAACTTTCGCCGACTGCGCAGCAAGCAGTTGCATTTGCAATCGGTTTACCTGGTAGTACTTCACCATTTACTCAAATGCAACAGCAATATTTGCAGCAGATGTATCGTTCAACACTCTTCAACACATTCCAAGGTATGTCCCGGACACCAATATTTCCACAACGATGTGTTTGCTTGTTTAAAAATGCTTCTATGGGTTGATGACGTATTGCTGACACCGTAAATAAGTGAATATTGTTATATTGAAAGTGATGGTTTAGAGGTTAGATTTGGTTAGATTTCGTCGTTCTGCTGATATCTCTTTAATTGCAACCTTTGAAATTACCATTTTAATTTAAAAGCATTAGGTGAGTTAGCGACCATGTTCTGATCATTGATTGCAGCTGCGGCAGCAACAAGTGCCTATGGTAGTGGAAACGTAGCTGCGGCAACCGGAGCATATGGACCAGGTGGTTATTCGGGGACACCAAACAATCCAACAGCAGCAGCGGCAGTCGCCGTTGCAAGTGCAGGTGTACTGCCTGGTACTGTACGACAGGATACGCAACGACAACAGCAACAGCAGCCGCATCTAGCGGTTAGCTTAGCCCAATTTCCTTGTTTCTTAGTAAGTTGAGCATACTGCTTCTGGAATATACATCGAATATATTTTTTACTTTGTTATTTGAAATGGTATAGCGTGGTCTTCATGTCTTTTTGTTGGCAATCTTATATCGAGAAGTTGATTGGGGATTTAGTTTACTGGGCTGAGATATTTCACTACCGTTTTTCTATCCACGATCGTTTACTACAACGTTTCACCGTTTGGATTACATGAAACAACATAGTTCCATCATCTCGAAGCAAACTTACTTGTCAATTAGCAGACTATACCATTCTCGTCATCAGTTTGGTAATCATACTATTTAGTATTGCCCATTCTGAAAATGATATTACGATAGGATGGTCTCTTTGGGTTAAAAAAAAAGAGAATGAGAAATTTATGCCGACATGTTGCTGACAATTTCTTGTATCAATTTTCTTGAAATTCTTATATTTGTCCAGGATCTTCATCAACAACAACAGCAGCAACAGTATCTGACGTCTAATCTGTATCAACAGTCTTCGCCAACGACTTCACTTTGCTCTCCGCAGCAAGCTAATGTTGCGACGCAGCAACTGAATTCTCTTTACGGTGCAGCCACTGGTGCGTTTCCGATTTCGTGCGAATCTTCGTTACTCTCTACACAACAGGTACTTTTCCTTATTTCAAAAAACATTCGTTGATAAATCAATAAAAAGGCACTGACCGTATTTGTTGAGCTTACGGTTGTTAGACATGGTCTTAATTTTCTTGAGAAGCTGTGACTTTGTGGTTACAACCTTTATACTATATATTCAAGCTTGAATAATCAGAATTGCGATTACAGATGACTAATCAACCAGGAATATATCATGTTGGAGTTGGACAGCGTCAGCAAGATGCTAAACAGTCGCTGAAATCGAAACTGCCACAACAACAATCGCAACAGCAACAGCAAGTAAAAACTTACGCTGGTCTACCGGCTGCGTCGGTTATTGCCGTAAGTTAATGCTTGGTCCCTTCATTCCTTTTTGATGTTTTACTGCTTGATTCCGAAACTAAAACTGTCACTGCGATATTGTAGGTGCTGTCCCTTAGTTTATTTCATCATGTTACTGATTATAGACAAGTCGGTATTTTATCTTCCATATGCGGATGAATTATAAGTTTGATACCTGGATGCACTAATAGCAAGGTGATATTCTCGATTTTCTTGAACCGTCGCATTCACTTCACAGTCGAACTTGTCATCCTTTGATCTTGTGTGATCATTATTTTATTTTGTTTACTTGCAGCGATATCCGGTTATGTGGCAAGGCATAATTGCACTGAAAACAAACGAAACTCGTGTGCAGATGCATAAGGTAACTATTTTAGATTGAATTGTAGCATTCATCGTGGTATTCCTAATCAGCAAATGGCCATTTGTCGCCGTTTTGTATCTAGTGTTTTTCGTTGCGAACAGCGGTAAACTTTTGAACGAAAAGTGTAGTAAGTTTATAATGCGTTAGAAAGTCCCACTTTCGCTACATGGTGTCGGTTGTTTGAGAAATGGTGGGGATCTGTATATATGTATATGCATATATATATATATATATATATATGTGCCTGTGTGTGTGTGTGTGTGTGGTAATAATAATCCATGTGTGTTTACCGAACCTTAATTGGTGAGTCGTTTTGTTGAATTTCCGCATGTCATACGAACAGGTAATGATAAATGGGTTTTACAGGTTGGTGGTAATGCCGAAATGTGCAAACGATCATTAGATCAGTTTACAACAACATCAAATCATATGCCATTAATAAGAATTAACCAACGAATGCGTATGGAAGCGGGTCAGCTTGAAAGTATGGAAGTGGTTTTCATTCATTTAAAGTGAAATGTTTCGAAATTCATTTTGCTGTAAGTTAAAATTGGTCTGGTGGGGTGTGCATCGGCATGCATGCCTTTTTATATTCTTCCTTCGAACTGTGGTTTAGACCATCATTCGCATTGCTTGACGACCACTTTCGTGATGGTGTTGTTCGATTTATCATTCAGTATGTAATCTCTCTTCACAGAAAAACGATTAGGTTTTCTTCAACTATGAAGACAAATGAAAGGGAGTTTAGAAAACTTAAAAGTCTCTTTTGTATTAATTTCTTGATTATGTTTTTTCGTTCTTGGAGCAAGATAGTTTTCTGTTATAGGTGTTCAATGTAAAATGATGGATGAGCATTCGTATATTGCGTTAATTTGTCTCTCATGTGGGCCGAGTAAAGAAGATATAAAGAGTCAGTCAGAGCTACTGAAAGAACGTTTTGTTGATTATTTGGAATCAAAGCAGGCTGCTGGAATATGCAATGTTGGCAACGAGGTAGGAGTTTCAAATGGTATTGACGGATTTCACTTCCTTTCGTTTAGTATCATTAGTCTGTACTTTTTTCTGTGTATGTGCTCTAGAGTACCGCTTCGGGGATAATATTTATAATCATTTCGTAATCATCATTTTGTTTTGTAGGATCGGTTCCGTTTGCTTTGATTTTTCTAGCTAAAATTACATTTAATGGATATATCAGTCGGTAAGTTTAATTGCTAGGAAGCCTACAAAACTTTTATTCCTTACGTGAGTCCCCTAGAAAAGCTACATTATTTGTCGGGTGAAAGACTAATATACTTGATTGTTATAATATCAAAATTATCTTATAAGTTATATATCACATCATTTATGTAATGCATCTATATTTGTAGCACTTTCAGCAGAATCCGACACCTAATACCATCGTGCACATCTTTCCACCGTGTGATTTTGCATCTGCATTCCTGCAGAAGAATAGTCCGGATCTACTGGAAATATTCAGGCAACAGAAAGCTAGCTATCTGTTTGTCGTCATTACATCTGCCAATTAGTCCTTTGAAGTAAGATAGCCTTCATCACACAGATGTCTTGAGGAAACGGTATCTTCAAAGATGTCCTGTGCGACGGGGAAAATTTGTTGGAAGAACATAGAAGTTATGGTATATTGATCTCAGATGTGTACTGTAATTCGTCCAGTGTTTCGGGAAAAACATTTTTTTTCTTTATTTCGACTGTGTGGAAGTTTATTTTCTATTGATTTTGTTCATGTTTATGGGGACATTTAAAAAATTCTTTGTCCCTATAAAGGATTATTTGCTGAGTCCTTTGTATGATATATATGGGGCTGACTTTTTTTAAAAGATCTGAAGAGGAGGATTGAAAGATGTTATTTAGCTAAATGTAGCTCCATGAACGGTCTTATTGTTAAATTGAGTAATAAGCTTATTTTCATCCGTTTACATTCATGACCTCGACGCAGTAAGCAACATTTTCACACAGTGCTGATCAAACTTCTGTCCATGTGATCACTTTAGGGCAATGTATTTTCGCTTTTGGTTTCAAATGGTACTGGAAGAGATTCATGGAAGGTTAATCGGTGTCGAGTGTGTTTTGAGAAGTTTTCCTTCGGTATATTTCTTGGTATTTCTTCACCGTGTCCTGCACCGGTTTTTTTTTTTTTTTTTTTTTTTCGCTTTGCCAGGTTTTTTCTTCCAACACTGGGATTTGGTCGCTACGGTTAAAATGCTCTCAATTGCTACTAATGGCACCCTTAATACTACTATCCTGATGTTATAATTATTCTTTTGAATGGTCTATGCGTTCATTTCTAAACATATAATTGTATAACTACTTGTTTTTGATTTTTTTCTCTAAATACTGGTTAATTTATTTTTCGTCGGTACGGCTTCTGCTACTACTATTAATAATAATAACAATAATAATAATAATACTATTATTACTACTACTACTACTGCTACTACTATTACTACTACTACTACTACTACTACTACTACTACTACTACTACTACTACTACTACTACTACTACTACTACTACTACTACTACTACTACTACTACTACTACTACTACTACTACTACTACTA